CCTCTGCATAAGCTTTTTGGCAAAAGATGACAGTCATCCCAAGTGACGAGACATCTGCTGCCAGGATCTTGGCAGGATGGCACAAACTGGTGATGATCTGCGACAAGCAAGGCAAAGTCGGGGCTGGCAACGGCCTTCCACCTCCTGCATGGTAGCCACGAGTCGAGCCAGACGGGAGCGAGCAACATCCGGTTCGAGGGTGCCCCAGGGCAAGGGGTCAACTTCCTGCAGATAGGGTTGTTTCGCACGATGATCATCCCAGAGGAGGGGCGGCCGCCGGCAAGGGGGTCGGGTGCTATTGCAACGAGAAACATATCACCGGCTCAGTATGCAGGGTCAATCCTCACGCGCTCAGGCAACGGGGTTGTGTCAATATCAGCGTCTGCTAAGCATACCTCGAGCTCTTTCTCTTTGTTCTCTGCACGTTCACCGTAGCCGTCGACCAACGCATCTACGGTAGAAAGCTCGTGTGCGATAGGCGGGTCTAACCCCAGATTTGTAGGTGCTTGCATGCATGGATGAGAGAAAGTGTAAATTGGCAAAGGCATAGATATGGGAGTTTGTTTATTGTGGTAGTCGGCCCTGCCGATGGTCACGCTGCGAGATTGCAATGACGATGTGCTGTCACATCGTGCGCAATCTCCCAGTACCCAGGCCGCGATATGGCATCAACTTAGCTGCCAGCATACTCCCCGCCGAGCGAATGTGCCAATTCGCGCACTATCCACGGGCCTGACCACCAAGAACAACAACTTGCACGAGGGTACATCCATGCCTCTGGGGCTTGGTGCTGCATCGCCGTTCCCGCAGCCCACGCCGCCCGCAAAAAGCAACGCAGGAACCCGTGCTGAGAGGAGACTTACCGTGCCAGGTCGACCGCGACTCGAGGGCGAGATGGGACGGGGGAGTCGGAGACGTGGCTTGGTGGATAGTCGTGGAGTTGTGGAGAAAAAGGGAGAATGGAGCCAGAAGCAGAAAACGAAGACCGGTGACCGAAGCCGGCGGGGATGTTGCTTGCATTGCTTTTCCCATGTTCGCCGCACGCGCGCCCGGTTGTCCTTTGACATGTCTAGCTCAGGCCCTAGAACACAGCTGTTGGCGTGAAGAGCGTCGCACTCCATCTTGTGCCTAGTCTGGAGCGTGGCGTGCGCGGCGTTAGGGACACCCTGCTCAGCAATGACTCCCGCGACAGCGATGCCCTGGCTTACGGTTTCTCGGGACCTTCAGACTGTAGACAGGCATATTCCCGGTCTCACTGGTCTCCCGCTAAGGAGGAAGACCAGGGCAGACACACGGACGTGGCTGGCTTGGTCGTAGCGTTGCGTCACTTCAAGGGTCGCTCAAGCGCGTTGGGCATAAACCTCGTTCATCTCGTTTCCTGAAATGGACCGGACGTGCGTTCATAAAGGGTCAGTGGACATCTCACGATGTTGTTGTTGTGATTCGGACGGCAACGCCGAGAAATGGCAACATGGTGCAGCATTAGGGAAACCTGCGTCAATCCGCGGACGATCTGCCATCCCCAACGGACATGACAGCGGGCTTGATCACCCAAGGCGCTAACTCGACGGGGATCACTCAGTTGGACTAGTCGAGGTTTGTGCTGGGCAGAACTTGGACTCAATCGACAACCCGCGCGTGTCGGGCCTCGTGTCTTTCGGTTCTGCGAGGTGGATGAGGGCCCCGCGTCTCTTCATCCCGTTTTGCCGCCGTATACTCGGCATCAGCATAACACAGTGACCCTTTCTGAAGCTGGGATCAAAGCGACAGGCTTGTGTCCATCCTGATTTGGGCCCTTCGGTCTCGATGCGAGGCTGAATGAACCCTCGTCTGCATCGCTTCGGCTGATTTGGGTTTCTAGGTTACACACCATCCTGAGTGAGTAATGGTTTCAGTAGTGTTGGAACGAAATGGTCGGCACTGGCGCTGTTGAGAAACTGCCGTTGCCGTTGTCCCGCCATTCCGGGGAGAAGGGCGACGCGGCATTGAGTTCGGACTAGTTACGGGGCGGTGCACGCGATGGCAGCGCTCATGACTGGCGCTCAGCTCGATCTGAGCTGTCAGAGTTGCTAGTCAGATGGCCAAAACGCACCGTCGGGCCTCTATCGTAAGCGAGGTTCGAACCGTCTCATCGTTCTCCTGCCGTTCGTCACTTTGAACCGGCAACAGGAGTCCTAGCGCTCGGACGGCAACCTTTTCTCTGGATTGCAACCTCACGGCCCTCAACCAGAGAGAACTCCCCACCCATCGACTGAGTCGGCTTGGTTCCTTAAGAGCCCCCTTGAAAAAGAGGGCAAGGGGCTGGCCACCGATCCTTGCGGATAGGATCTCGTTTCCCAATCTGAAGGACCCCCTGTGGTGATCAGTGAGACCTTGGCCAGTGGTGTGCAGCCTTTTGTGATGATCACCGTGGATCACAACGGGACACACCTGAATGAGCGTCGTCGCGAAAGGATCCTGTTGCCCACCTGGATCGATTAGCGCGCGGCACTCGCTGTCACCGACGCTCCTTGGAGGGAACCGTGTCAACCGAGTCCGCGGCAGTACGCATCGCCGG